CTCATACAACTGTCTTTCAAGATATTCTGATGCTGTTGGATAATTTGTAACCATCTCTCTCCAGTAATAATTGAAAGCATCAGGAGTTTCAGCATTTTGGCATTTCCAAAATACAGAATAAAAATCTGCAAATAAATTACCCAATTTTCCACGAAGTGCTTTTTTGAGATTTTCTTTTATATGCCAAATACAAAGGAGGTGACATACTAGTGGATACTCAATAATAATCGCATGTTCTATGGCAGGGTCCCTATCAGTTATAATTACATTAGGTGTTCGGCCTTGTATTGCTTTTTTAGTCATGTACAGCATCCATTTATATGAATCTGTAGTCTCATTGCTTATTAATGCTTATACAACTATCCTAGATTGCATATTATTATCTAATACTACAAAGATTGATAATAGTATATTATATTGATTCGTCCCTGCAGTGTTATCATGGCCTATTGTATTTTTAAATTCACACCATAATAAAATTTGATCTGGACTCATCCAGAAAAGACCAATAAGTATGCTTGTCTCAATTTCCCACTTTGCTTCTACAAACCACCGAGGATCTTCACGTTGTTTAGACAATAATTCTTCATAAAAGCGAGCTGCATCACCTTCAACAAATCATGCAGATGGCTTGTGTCTCTTGATCTTAGCATAAAGGTCTTGAGGAAAAATTGGGTGTAATGGATATTTTTGGTTAAAAATTTGCTTAATCATGATTGTACCAAAATTACATTTTTTTACATAAAATACAATATCATCTTGCATCTTCTTAGTAAATATCTTTAATTTCTCAAATTGTAGAGCTTCAACGGACAACTCATAGTTATGTTCATCTACTAATGTTGTTATATAAACAAGTGAATTCAGGTTTTGTTTAAGTGGTCGTGAAAGATTAATATGCCACTAACAACCCTGTCTAACAGATGTTCCGGGATTTTCTGGATTTTTTGCTTTATATTGACCAGAATGTTGGCAGTAGATTGTTCTTTTTCTCATCACTTTGTCTGTTCCCATTGCAGTGCTTTGACCTAATCATATTTTAAACTCTTTAAACTCTGCATATCATTGTATATATTCTTCGGTATGTTCAAAATCTTCAAACGGATCCCCTACTTTTACTGAAATTACATCTAAGTTATTTGCCTCTTCTCTATTATGACTTAACGTTTCAAAAGAGCTCTCACTTCCTTT